CCCCCCCCCCATTTCTATTTGTTTTATTAGGAGGCAGAAAGAGGAAGTCAAATGGTAGGAAGGAGACCTTGAGGCTGGTTTTGCTCCACTCTTCATAGATCAGGTCTAAAAGCTCAGTGTTTATAATTGCAGATTTACGACTGATTAGCTTAGCTAACCACTAGGACACGGTTACTTCCTCTTTGCCCAGTTTCTTTTGTTTATCATTTTGTTAAAACCCCCTCATAAAATAAAGTTTCCGATCTTCCGCAACAAGCTAAAGTATTAACAATAAGCTCTTTCACAAAACAGTTCAGTAAAATGGGTGTACAGATCAATCCTTTTTTAATTCTGCCTTTGGCTGTTCAGAAATTACAGATGGAGTCAGCCACATCCCGCACAGACATGAGTTTTCAGAAATGAAGCGAGCACTGTACAGCAAAAAACATTATATTCAATGTGAAATTGCAAGATGCTAACACTCAAAGGTGTGTGCTGAGGATGAGTCTCAGCTACTACCACATCAGATTTTAGCACAGCATCTGTAAAATTGGTAGAATTATAGCATTTTTGTTGTGTCTTAAAGTCATTAGGCTGTGGAAGCCATCTTGAATTAAGTTGGCTCCAAAATTTCCCAGTGGTAGCTTCATCACGTACAATATTATATAAAATTGTTTTTGCAATTTGTGATTGTTATAATGCAATATCATACGATATCGATCTACATCAGGCATATGATGACGATAGGGATTGCCATTTAATCAATATATCGATGTGGATCATCCTCTAGTGGTAGATGCGCAACCATTTATTATTTCCTGAACCTTTCATTAAATTCCAGGCTGGGGTTTATCAGAAGTTTTGCTAAAAGACAGAATTGACTCCAAAAAATCTCAGAAATCTTGGGCCATGTACTGAGCACCTAAAGGGACACTGGATGAAAAAAAAAATTAGTTCCCACCAGTTAGAAAGTTGTGCGCACAAGTTAGTATCTCATTTCCACCTGTTAGTATCTTGTTCCCACCAGTTAGTAAGTCATGCGCACCAGTTAGCAAATCATTCCCACCAGTTAGTAAGTCGTGTGCACCAGTTAGCAAATCGTTCCCACCGGTTAGTATGTCGTGCGCACCAGTTATTAAATCGTTCCCACCAGTTAGTATGTCATGCCCACGAGATACCTCACAGGATCTTTCAGATCGTTTTGGACAAGCTGTGTGTGTACTGAAATGGAAACATGGCGTAAGTGAGTTTTATTTCCAGTTTGGCCTGAAATACAAACACAGGGCTGCATTGCTTGTTCTCCGA